ACGCAATAATCCCAGGAGGAAGGTATTGGGTTTTTTGTTTGTTTGCTTGTTTTTGTTTTTGATTTAAGTATAGTTGACTTACAATATTAATTTCAGGTGTACAACATAATGATTCAGTATTTTTATACTCCATATAAAGTTATCATAAAATATTGACTATATTCCCAGCGCCGTACATTACATCATTGTTAACATTTTATACATAGTAGTAGTTTGTACCTCTTAATCCTCTTCACCTACTTTGCCACTCCCTCCAGGAAGGTATTATTATTATCCGCATTCTACAGATGCAAAAACAACGAAGCACAGAAAGCACAGAAAAATTAAGTCCTTTTCCCAAGGTCACACAGTAAGAGCAGCAGTTCAACTCAGAAAAGTCTGGCTCCCGAGCCCAGGAGTCAGCACCTCCATAGGAGGCGGCACGGCTCTTTAGTGTGTGATGAGGAAGGAGCGGGGTGGAGAGAAGGGAATCCGTGTACCCAAAACGGTACTCTGAGTTTCAAACGGTTCCTTCCAAGTTCTTTTCCCGTTTGGTACTGGGGGGCGGGTTGCTTCAACCACTGAATAGACAATAAAGTGAAATGGACCTGACTAGGGTCTAAGACCTGTAAGGCACAAGGCGAAATTGGCTCTGAAAGTTCCAGAAGTATGCTATAACTGACAACCCAGCACCATGAGCCTCAGGGGGTGACCATCGAGTTTGGGCGTCCGCACAAGGGTTCACCTCCGCCCCTCTTATGGGAGGAGTTACCCTTCAACCTGACAGGCAGCAGTCAACCGTGGCTGGGCACGCAGAGGGCAGGAGGTTCCAGAATGAACGCAGCTCTCCCCGCCCGCCCCGCAGGCACCTGAGCTCGCCCGACGCAAACGTTCCCTGCGGCGTCCGCCCATGCGGTGCCTAGGGCAAAGGGGCGGAGATTGTTTTCTTTCAGGTTCAAGAATAAACCTTGTTGAGAGCCATTTGTTTGCACACCTCTTATCACCCCATGTGGGTGCAGCTGAAAGTGCAAAGTGAAGGTCCCAGTGTTCGGAGCTGGGGGCGGGGGCATAACTTACTCCATCTGCGTTCCTGGCCCGCCTGATCCAACACTGAGCTCTGAAGCTTTTAGCCGCGGAGAGAGAACGCGTCCCTCTCGCTCACGGAAGCTTGTCCACCTTGCCGAGTCTCCGGCCTTGGGAGCCCCAGCTGAACACTGAGGCCCTGCGCAGCGCCTCAGAACCCGGGGGGCCCTTCGCCCCAGTGTGGGCGCCCTGGCGGGTCAGGAAACCCCGCTTTCGCTCTCTTTGCTTCAACCACTGAAGAGGCAGTAAAGCGAAATGGGCCTGGATCTGGGTGAGGAAGACCTAGAAGGTAGTCGGGGAAATTGGTCTGAAAGTTCTAGAAGCATGTTGAACTGACCACCCAGCGCCATGACTCAGCCGCGGAAGGTTCGGGGCTGTGAACGCTGAGCGTCAGCTCACTCTCGCCAAGCCCTTCTGGGTTTACTCACTCGAGCAGGGAGCAGAGGTGCGGCAACTCAGCGGGGACAAAACACCTGCGCGGAGCTGCGGTTCGAGGGCGGAGCGGGAGGGGGCGCCCGCCTTCCCCGCGCCAAACAGTGACCCTCGAGTCTGTTCCGGGATCATCCCAGGTCGCGAGCCGTGTCCGCGCAGGCTAGTCTCCCGGAGAAGCCTCTCCTTCCAGTCCGCTCCTGGGGCCGCAGGGCTCCTTCCTAAGCGGTCCCTCTGCCTCGGAGCCCCTGGCCCGGGAGAGGTGGGTGTGCCACGGCGATCTCCCGTGACCCCCAGGCCTGAAACCGGACCCCGGCAGCAGCGGCCTTGCCTCTGTGGCTCGGACCTGCGTTCGAGTCCTGATGCTGCTGCGTGTCCTGAAGCAAAAAAAAAAAAATCAGTCTCTGTAAGCTTTGGTTTCCTCGATGTGGATAATTGTGAACCCACCACATTAGGATGGTTCCCAGGGGTCAGTGCTTGTCAGAACTCCTGGACTTCAGGAAACGCTCAAGAAATAAAAGCTGGCCGTTACTACTGTATTAGTTATCGCAATACATCTGCTTTTTCCACGAGACTGTAAGGTACTGGAGAACAGGAACTCCCAGCACCTGGCACAGTACGTGGCATGGTAAGCGAGACTAGCTGCCTGGGACCCTCGACGGCAGAGTGCAGAGTGGGAACAGGGGGCAGTCCAGCAGCAGCGCGTGTGACCCCGAGTGACGTAGGCGAGTGAGAATAAGCCTGTCCCGGCTGCGCACAAACTGCACTTCGGCGCCCACCCCGCGCCCCCAGCCGACAGGGGTCAACCTCTTCCCCCACCCCCCATCCCGGCACCCCTCGGCGTCCGCTTTCTGTGTAATGGAGGACGCCCAGTGGTCGGGCAGAGGCTGTGCGCAGAGCCAGGGGAAGCCCTAAACGCCTGACCCAGGCCAGCGGTGGGGCAGAGGCCTGAAAGCAAGGCGCAGCAGACCTGTTCTCCAGAGCCGCTCGCTGTCTGCCAGAGGTCGGCAGCTGTTCGACCAAGGCTTACGGTAAGTACCCTGTGGTTTACACTATGGCAACAGAGAAAGGAGGGGTACCTAACTCAAAGGAAGTCGTTTCTGCCCTGGAGCCTCACTGTTCACGTGTACAATGGGAACTATTATTCCGTCCTTGCCTGCAAGGCTTGTCACGAGGCTCCCAAGGGAGGAGACAGATAAAGGGCTGTCGCGACAACCTGGTGGGCATGGGATCCAAAACAGGAAGGTCTCAGCGACGGTGTTGGAACATAGAAGACCAGAGCAGAGACACTGAGCCCCCTTCCTTCCGCCATCCTACTCTAGAAAACTGAAAGCAGAAAAGGGGAAGGAGGGTGCCCTGAGGTGGAAGAGGAATTTTGGCTGCAAGGAGGCATTACCCCAAACTCGGTCTGTAGCCCCCCCAAACTCCTCTCAAATCACTATGGAGAGGCATCCCCCTACTCTGAACTGTGGACAAGAGTGTCATTTCTCTACAGTACTGTCTCCCTGACTTTAGACCAAAGTGAGGAAATCGTTTGGATATTGTGATCTGATAATTTAGGCAAACCCAGATTTGTGCCCAGATTATCAGAATTAACATCTCAGGTCTTTACTTGATTCTCCAAATGCAATTGTAAATTCTGCCTCTCTCTCCCTGCTCATTGCCTCCGGTCTTTTCTCCCACATACAAACAAGTCCCTTGTTTTGCAGTTAAAGGGGAACTGGGGTCATATTTCCTTCCAGGAAGATGCTATTTTCCAGATCTAGCTGACCTGGACTTCAGGCCATTAATGCAGGTTCTCACAGTTAATAAAATTAAACACATTTGCCACCATGAGAAAGTCTGGAGTACATGCTTGGGGTGGAAACAAAGGAGCAGAGAGAAGGCAAGGCTATGGAAATTAGATCTTTTATATTTCATTTTCAATAGGAAAACAAGTTTTTACCTTAGGTCAAAACAGCTACCACCGTAGTGACAGAAAGATTTGTAACTTGGTGTCAGTCAGGACACCAAAAAGCAATCTTGATTACATATCAAGAGGTTAAGTTTGAGACTGGGGCCCACAAAGCAGCAGGCTGAGCGCAATGCACTGATGAGGCAATGCGGCCTGAGGCGAGACCCACCTCCCGAAGCTTTCTAAACCAGCTCCCGCTTCTCCATCTAGGGGCCTTCTGTAACCAAGAGAAAGGCTGCAAACTAAATCCAGGAGGATTACGTTCCTCAGTATTCCACAGAGAGTGAGCTATGTGGATGCTGCAGTTTTAATTACACACTTGCTTTTTCTGAGGAAGAAAACCAAAGATATTTTTCAAAGTATTAACTTGTTTTCCATTAGGCAGTTGTTGTAACAAGTTCTTTCAGCGACGTGTTATGTCTTTAGAACGGGGTGCTTCAGATGGCGTGCACTAGCACAATTTTGTGGCTTTTAATTACTATTTTGTTCTTTTGGGGGGTTTCAGAGGCTGGCGCCTCGGCATGATTAGACCGTCTACTGGGCCCACCGCAATCACGAACACCTCCACCAGGTGGCGCCACAAGGCAGGAACTGCGGACTCGGGTAAAGGCGAGTGTCCCTCAACTCCGGGCCACGGTTTCCAACCACCAGGAAACAGAGATATAGAGGAAGTCGCCACTTCAGATTTAAAAGAAGAAATTGCAGTGATAGGGCCAAACACCGTCCTAAAATGAAAAAACTGTAAAATGGGGTTAAGTGCATGAGATAAAACTTTTCTGTTTCTGTAAATTTAGCAAGATTTGTAGTATCGAGACAACACTCTCACCAAAGTATCATCCCATTTCCTCTTTCGTAAAAACATGGAATTTAAAGTTAGAACGAACTTTGAAGGCCATCTGGTCAGTCCAACCTAGAGAGGAAATCCCCGGGATCGTTCTTCGGTTGTCAATTAGCCATCAAATACACGTAATTACTCAGTCTCGATGTATCAGAAAAGTACAAGGGAAAATGCTTTCAAATATATCATTAGCAATACTACCTTTGAATTTATATAGCTTTTCTCTCAAGGAGCAAGGAAAATAGTTTAAATATTATCGAATTAATTGTCCTAATATCCCTGTGGGTTAGGAAGCAGGTAGTATTATTATACCATTATATCAATGGACTATGTCAAGTGCCGAGTGGCTGACAACAGTAAGTGCCAGACCCTTCGAGGAAAAGCGGAGCTAGAACTGGCCGGGCTCTCCGCACCATTTTATTTTGATTAATGTTTGAAAGCTGACCTCGGACGTGAAAGTATGAATCACTGGAATTGGTCGACACTTGTACACAGAATGGGTTGGGAGACCCCATTTCTTCTCGGAGGCGAAATGACAGTCTCCGTCTTCACGCCTTCTGTCCTCCTGCCATCGGTCACCCTGATTCCCCGCCCCCCCCGCCTCCAGCCCCTCGCCTCGCAGCTCACACTCAGCAGCAGCCTGTCTGCACCCACGACCACAGCAGCCGCAGCGCCAGCCCTGTGATTTCCCCCCACACCCCCGCCCCGCGCCCGGCGTTCCGGAGCTCCAGAAGCCTTGTGGCTCGGCGCTTCTGATTGGCCGTTGCTAGGTGACGTCGCCTGAGCTCACGTGACGAGTGTTAAATGCCCACCCTGCGGGAGCCCGGCCCACAGACAATCGTAAAGCCGCTCGGGGCTGCTCACCTGCTCCCACCTCCTCCCGGAGCCCTGGCCAGGCCCCGCCACCCCTGCCCCCTCCACTGCCCGCCCCGAGCCCGAGCCCGCGCTGGGCAAGGCGCCGAGCGGCCCGAGAGGCGGAGAGAGGATGAGGCCGGAGGCAGCTGTCCCGAGCAGTGCACGGTGATCGCCTCCCCCGGAGGAGGAGTTGCCTAGACCATTGCCGCATTTCTTGTTTTCCTCTCCCCTCCCCCACTGTAATTACATTGGCTGCTGGAGGGGACAGGGAGAGACGGAGGAGGCGCCTCGCAACCCCCCTCGCGCCCGCCACCCCTGCTCTTTCCCGTCCCGGGCCAGGATGACTGGAGTCTTTGACAGTCTGGTGGCTGATATGCACTCGACCCAGATCACGGCCTCTAGCACGTACCACCAGCAACAGCAGCCCCCGAGCGGCGGCGGCGCTGGCCCCGGCGGCAGCAACGGCAGCAGCCTCCACAAGCCTCAGGAGTCGCCCACACTCCCGGTGTCCACAGCTACCGACAGCAGCTACTACACCAACCAGCAACACCCGGCTGGCGGCGGCGGCGGCGGCGGCGGCGGCGCTGGGGGCTCGCCCTACGCGCACATGGGTTCCTACCAGTACCACGCCAGCGGCCTCAACAACGTCCCTTATTCAGCCAAGAGCGGCTACGACCTGGGCTACACCGCCGCCTACACCTCCTACGCGCCCTACGGGACCAGTTCGTCTCCGGCCAACAACGAACCTGGTAAGCATAACTTTCGCGTCAAGGGTGCCAAGTCCGTCTAGTTCCTGGAATGGGTGGGATAAAAATGTTTGGGACGGGGATCCATCTGGAGCCCTGGCCTTTCACACTGATTGCTTCCCGCTCTCCTCGCGCCCTTTACCCTCATCAGCTTTCAATTGGCCGAGGGTCACCGGGTACGTCCTTCGGGTACCCGGGTACCCGGCTGGTGGGACCAGGTGGCCTCGGCGGCCGCCTCACAACAACCTCATTTCCCTACCACCTGCTGCTCCTTTCTCCCCCGGTTTGCGCCTGTCTTCCCCTTCCCTGGAGGGGCCGACTCCCGGGTTCGCTGGCGGCGCGGGTCCGCGCGTTGCAAAGTTGTGCCTGAGCGCCGCGCAGCGTCTCCAAGAACCCGCCTCCCGGCTTAGGCCAAGTTCCACGCTGCTCTCCCGGCGGGCGGGGAACTCCTGGGCTCCCGCGGTTGCGCGGTTCTCACGATTCCATTTCATTGCAGAGAAAGAGGACCTCGAGCCTGAAATCCGGATAGTAAACGGGAAGCCAAAGAAAGTCCGGAAACCCCGAACCATCTACTCTAGTTTCCAGCTGGCGGCTCTTCAGCGCCGTTTCCAAAAGACTCAGTACCTGGCACTGCCCGAGCGAGCTGAGCTGGCGGCGTCTCTGGGCCTCACCCAGACTCAGGTGAGGGCTCGCGGCCTGGGAGGCACGAGGAGGGCGCTGGCCTGGGATGGCCAGGAAGCAGGCAGGTTTAGGACTATGTTTTTTAAAGTATTTTTTATAGTACTTTTAAGGATTTCGAGGCCCGCGACTTGGGCGGCCTAAACTTCCACGCCCGAAGCTGAAATCCCCCAGGGTGCCACCTCGTGTGAGAAAAGGATAGGACAGGGGTGGGCAGAAATCCGGTAGCAAGTTGTCCTTCCGCGTACTACTGATTAAGCGGGTAAAACAAGTGGCCCTCCTGACTCCCTCCGCTGTCACCATCACCTAAGTGCACACACATCAGCTCTCTCGGGTTTTTTGAGAATACCTCCCATTGGAGCAGGAACCGACAGACCCTCTGAGGCCGCGGCACGTGATCGGCTTACCTGACCAGGGTATCCACCTCTTAACCAGCTGTCTTCCTAAGCTTCTCCCCTCCCCTGCCCCAGGCCGAGTTTCCTCCATTAATGCTCAGGTCCCTTTTCCACAAAGGTCAAAATCTGGTTCCAGAACCGCCGATCCAAGTTCAAGAAAATGTGGAAGAGCGGTGAGATCCCTTCGGAGCAGCACCCGGGGACCAGCGCCTCGCCACCTTGTGCTTCGCCGCCGGCCTCGGCGCCGACCTCCTGGGACTTCGGCGCGCCGCAGCGGATGGGGGGCGGCGGCGGCCCGGGCAGCGGCGGCAGCGGCGCGGGCAGCTCCGGCTCCAGCCCGAGCAGCGCCGCCTCGGCTTTCCTGGGCAACTACCCGTGGTACCACCAGGCCTCGGGCTCCGCTTCGCACCTGCAGGCCGCTGCGCCGCTGCTGCACCCGGCGCAGACCCCGCAGCCGCACCACCACCACCACCAGCACCACCACGGCGGCGGGGGCGCCCCGGTGAGCGCCGGGACGATTTTCTAACTCCCGGAGACTGCGCCAGAGACTGAGAGAGCAGGGACCAGTTATCCTTACTGCTCATCCCCAGAGCCATAGGGTCCCTCCGGCTGGCCCGATGATGCCACCCGCCGCTCCCGGAGGTGGCGGCCCAGGATGGCCTACCCCAGGGCCGGGGCCACCGCGCGGCCAGGGACTGGAAGGCGTCTTCTCGCGCCACGGGCTCCTCTCGGAGCAACCCGGCATCCGCGGGAGAAACCCTGCCAAGGCCGCCTTTCCGACCTGAGCCCCGCCTCAGACTTGCCTCCCCTCCCCTCCCCTCCCCGCCCCGCCCGGCGAGGCAGTCCGGCGCCTTTTTCGCCCCGGGCCGCGAGCTGAGTCCCGAAGAGGGACGCCTGCCCCGCCCGCGAGGCTGCCTGGGCCCTCTGAGACTCCTTTCTCCTTGCCCGCCCCCAGGCTCAGCTCCTGTCCTCTGGGGTTATTGACCTCCCGGTCCTGCCGGCCTGCCCTCCCCCCGCCCCGACCCCTTGACCCCGGCGGCCCGCCGCTTTTTTTCTGCCCTGCTGTTTCCAGCCGTTGGAGCCCTCGTCCCTCCCCCGCCTTAGCTCTCCTCGCAGGAACGCTCCCTCAGCTCTCTCCTCATCCTTCACCAGTGGAGTTTTTTTATTTTTATTTTTTTAAAAGTTTAGGTGCCTTTGCGGATGACCTCATTTTGATGTTGGGGGAAAAAATGATTTTTTTAATATGTGGACACTGCAAAAAAATGTGTTTAAATTATCTTTTTTAAAACCTATTCAGGATTATTAGCCTGGACTTCGATATAGCGTTTGTAAATAAAGGTGTCTGTGCAGATTTTCCCACTGATTTATTTGTATAAAAATACTCATCTTTTCAGACATTTTTGTAAATCCCCACTTGTGAAAACTGCGGTTTAGCAGTGACCTCAGCAACCCCTCCGTTTTATTTTTCCCTTCGAAAAATGTTCTCAGTTTAACTAAGCTACTGATTTGGATTTGTTTTATCTTATCCTAAAGTCTTTGTTCTTGAAATGAAAGGTATTTTGGGGTTATTTATTATGAAAACAACATGCTCTTAATGTTGATTTTACAATATGAAGAGATTATTTAAATAAATTATTGTTTTCATTGGATGTGTGCGCTTTTTCCTTGGTGTCACGACCTAGAAGCTCGAGCCGCTGCCCAGGCGGGGAACTAGGTCAGCCAAGAGTGACATTTACATCTATCGGAGGCTGCGACTTGCGGAGAGGTGCGGCGAGGCGAGGACCCGCACTCTCAGCGCAGGGCTGCTGCAAGAGTTCACGCTCTGCCCACATCCGTGTCCCTGCGCGAGGTTCGCCAGCTCTCGGCGCGGTGAGTCACTCAGCGCCCGGTGGCTCCGGCCTCCGCCCGCCCGGCCCCTTCGGCGCCGGCGCCGCAGCCCCGCTCCTGGGAGGTCTCAGCCGCCCCCGCGCCCGAGGTGCTGGCAGGGCAGTACCTTCGAGCCGCCGCGGGGAACCTGCCGAAGCCGGGGTCTAACCCCTACTTTGGGCCCTCCCCACTGTTTGCCCTGCAGCCCTTCTGGGACTGGCTGAGCTGAGAACTCAGTGAGTCACCCAGGCCCTCGTGAGACTCTGGAAGGCAGGGCGACCCTGGGCACACAAGGCTACGCTAGCACACATGCAATCACACACTGACTCGCACAGTCACATCCATACTATCACATATTGAATCACACTTACACTCCTACACAGAACACCGACAAAAATTCATGTACATTCGCACGGAGACCGACGCACAGTGCTGTGGATTCGGCGTTGTTAACACCTCACGATCTCGAAGGGGAAACGTCCATACATGATTCAGCTCTGCTTTCCACATTGGGTTCCACATAACTAGCGCCCAGCTTTGGGAGTGACCCTAATTTCTGGCATTCCCTTCAAAGGCCAGGGGTAGGTGGGTAACGCAGTCCTGAACCAAAAGTCTTTTTCCTTGAAAGCGCTGGGGCCTACAATTGGAAACGTCTTGGCTTCAGTCACAAACTGTGTGACTTTAGGCTACCCACGTAACCTTTCTGTGCTGCAGTTTGCAGATCTGTAAGATGGAATCAATAATAACAGATATCTCAGAGCTGTGAGCCTTTAACAAGGGAATGACAGTGTGTGGCACCTGGTAAGCGCTCAATAAATTTTGCTTAGTAGCATAGCGTTTTATCCCAATGCCCCCAAATAGTGAGGGCATTGGGATAAAATGCCCTGCAATTATGAGGCCCAGAGTTACCCAGAGGCCTTTCCAAGTTCACCTTGTGTGGAAGAGCAGCATTCTAGGGCATTCTAGGGCTGGGAGAGCTCTGGTCCCTTCCTATATGAGAGGCTGAACGTTAGCCATCCCCTCTGAAGCGACCAGCGTCTACTGGAGAGGAGGTTGGGGCAAGCCAGAGAGCCCAGTTTGCCATATGTCCTCTAGGATGGCTATTCAGGCCATCCTTTTTGTGTGTCCTCAACTAATGTCTGCCAAAAAACAGACGTGGGGGACTTCCCTGGTGGTGCAGTGGTTAAGAATCCGCCTGCCAATGCAGGGGACATGGGTTCGATCCGTGGTCCGAGAAGATCCCACATGCCGCGGAGCAGCTTAGCCCGTGTGCCACAACTACTGAGCCCAAGTGCTGCAACTACTGGACCTCGTGCTCCGCAACGAGAAGCCACCGCAATGAGAAGCCCGCGCACCGCAACAAAGAGTAGCCCCCGCTACCCGCAACTAGAGAAAGCCCACGTGCAGCAACGAAGACCCAAAGCAGCCAAAAATAAATAAATAAAAATTAAAAAAAAAAAAACAGACGTGGGACAATGGTGACTTTCCAAGCATCACTGAGAGGAATTCTCACTTTTCTGGCCAGATCGTTTTGAGGCCTGCATTGAATCTAGTTTACAGCAGAGTATGGTCCACAGAGTTGGGGCTCTGGGGAAGGCAGGGAGGCCATTCAGTCAAGTGTCCGTTCGCATTCCTGCAGTGTTTTCCCAGGCTAGGGAAGCCTGGGATGAAGCTCATTGACCCCACGATTCTGACTTCCCTAAGCAGTTGCTGCCTAGCAGACCCCCATTCCTGCCACCACTCCCGCCCCAGCTCCAAATTTCGTGGTTTTCTTTGAGCGCCAGTCGCTGGTGCCTGCCTTCTTTCTGCGGTTGACTGTGCCCTCCCTTCCTTTGCGCGCACTCCCCTCCCCCTCCTGAAACCAGCGAGGAGAGACGGGGCAGTAAATTGGCTGGTGTCGAGGATCTGCAGCAGACAAGATGATTAAGAGGCCTACGCCGAAGCGCCCGGGGCAGGGAATGTCAGCCCAAGTTGGAATCACGCAACAGGCCTTGGCATGAGCGAGCCTGGGAGCCGGGAGGGCGGGCGGCCCCAGCTCTGGGGTGGGCCGAGGCCCCACAGACTCGCCGGAGTCACCGAACCTGGCACCCGGCGGCGTCGGGGTCGGGCCGGGCCAAGGCGCGCCTTTTCCCGGGAAGCCCTTGAAGCAGAGAGCAGAAGGGTGCAGGGGCCAGAGGAAGGGGGCGTTTCCGCAGACAAGGAGAAGGGCAAAGAGAAGGGAAAGAAGGATGCACCTGGGTCCCAGAAGTAAGGGGGCGGGGAGGAGGAGGGGTGAGCGAGGGGAGAAACAAAGCCTGGCTGGGGGAGGAGGGGGCAGGCTCCAGCCCCGCCGGGGGCGACGCGCTGGCAAGTCCTTCTCAGTCTCGCGGCCCGCTGGGAGACGCGGAGCCCTGTGATCAGCCCGCCGCCGCCGCGCAGACAAGCTCCCCCCGCGCCCGACTGCACTCCCCAAAGCGCGAATGAAAAATGGAAATGGGAAGCAGCGATCTCGGCTCCCTGCACTGGGAAACCAGCCGCGCTCGGAACACACATAAATCTTCATTGTAATCTCCTTCCATTTGCTCGCGTGAAATATCAGGCCAGAGACAGGATATGACAAGAGCTGGGAAGCAGAGGGAGGGAAGACGAAGAGTGAGGGGTGCCCGGTTCTCTCCGCTCCACCCCCTGGCAGTGTTGCTCGGAACTCCGGCTGAGCACTGGCACTGAGGTCCAACTCCAGTTGCAGGCACTCCTGGCGAGCCCGAGTCCCCTGCCCCTCGCAGTTCCCCTTCCCCACCCACCGTACCCCCGCCCTGCGCGCGCTGCGTCGCGGGCCACCCCGCCCCGGGTGCTTCCCGGGTGTAGACACACACCCCTCCCGCGGCCCCGAATTCCCGCCGCCCGCCCCGCCGCTCCCGGGCTGCGGGGGGAGGGGCGGGAAGCAGGAAAGAAAGGGAATGCATCCCGGGCCTAATCAGCGCGGCTGCAATGTGGGACCATTTAGGAGGCTTCCCCTCCGCCTTCTTTCAGGATTACTTGTGAAAATTGTGAATACCCGTCCTGTGTAAGGATTTCCGAGACCAGTGGGGAGAGTTTGGGGGAAGTATCAGGTTTGATGGGGGCGGAGAGAGGGCTGGAAGACTGGAGCTTTGTTTACAAACAGTCCTTTGGTAGAAGGGGGAGCGGAAAAGAGGGGTAAAAGGCCCCGTGAAGGAGAGTGATGTCGGGGAGTAGAAAGACCCCTTACCTTTCTAACAAAGATGTCCTCACTGACTGTAAAACCCAGGAGCAACTCCCGCACCCCCCAAAACACCCCCTCCCCCTTCCCCGTCCCAAGCACTTGCTCAAAAGTCACAAGCCGGGTCATTTCCCTCTAGGGAACAGCGACCACCAGTCGCTTAAACCTGTTGGGGGTTAGAGACCTCTTTGAGAATGAAACTACAGATTCTCTCTTCCTCCTAAAATACTGGTTCCTTTGCATTTGACTTTGGGGTCCCCGCAAGCCGGTGGGTGGGACGCGATGCTGCAGTCTTGATTACGCGGGCCCCTGGCCGGGTCTGACTAGGCTCTCCGGAGACGGGCGAGCTCTCGCAGGGTCGTGATACCCAAAACAGCCCCAGGGAAGCCTCCCTCTGCATCTGGAATCTGCCCCCAAGCCTAACGCGCTGCCCAGTCTCCCACCCCCCAAACTCAAAGGCGCGGGCGGATTCGGAGGCCCCCGCTACCCTCTGAGGCCCCCCTGCCGGGAGTTCCCCTCGCGGGGTCGGGTTTGGCAGTGATTGCCCCATTACAAGACTTGACATTCCGCCCTGGGGCCTGGGGCCAGGCGATGCCGCGGGGAGGCTGTGTTTAACGAAAAGAGAGAGCAGGCAAGTCTTGGAGGAGCAGCCATTCCACCTCCACGTGAGAACACAGGCAGAGTCTCTAGATAGACCTTTCTTTCTCCGGCCGCCTCCGCTCCTCTCCGTCCTCCCGGTCGGGCCAGACCGCAAACACTGCAGTGTCTTAGCAGTTTGCGGGCTGCGCAGCGCTCCCAGGATTCTCCGGAGGCCCGTTTTGGGAATCCTCGGGAGTCCTGGTGCCACTGGCTGCGTCCCGGGTCCGGTCCCGCCAGCGCTAGGAGCTGGAGGGCGGAGACCGGCGGTGAGGTTTGGGCGCGGAGCCCGGGAAGGTGGAGAAAGGCTCC